AGGGGGACACGCACAGTTTGAGAAACAGGGCTTAGCTCCCTTATTGGATTAAGGAAAGCGAAGCCCAGGAGAACTGGGCTCACTCCTCCATCACCCTCTTCAGGAGAATGGGCAAGGGTCCAGGCCCCGCACAGTGGCTCAAGCCTGTAATCCCAACACTTTGGGAGGCTGAGGTGGGAGGACTGCTTGAGCCCAGGGCCACATGGTGAGACCTTGTCTCTACAAAAAAAATCAGCCAGGTGTGACAGCAGCTACCTGTAGTCCCAGCTACTCAAGAGGCTGAGGCAGAAGGATCACTTGAGTCCAGGAGTTGGAGGCTGCAGTGAGCCATGATCTTGCCACTGCACTCCAGCTTGAACAGAGTGAAACCTTGACTGGGGCGGGGGCAGACTCGGTGGCTCAGCCTGTAATTCCAGCACTCGGGGAGGCCGAGGCAAGTGGATTGCCTGAGCCTGCGGGTTCGAGACCCACCTGGGCAACTCGGTGAGACCACATCTCTACAATAAATCAAAAATTAGCCGGGCGTGGTCACACGCACCTGTAGTTCTGGCTACTTGGAAGGCTGAGGTGGAAGGACTGCCAGAGCCCAGCAGGTCGACACTGGGGTGACCGTGAGCGTGCCATTGCCCTCCAGCCTGGGCAACACAGTGAGACTCCAACTCAAAAAAAAAAAGGATAAGGATCCTGGGGCTCTCTCCCACCTACCTCGACTGGCCCTGGGCCACTGTAGCAAGGTCTCCATTGTCACGTGGGCTGGGGCCAGCCCAGCAGAGGCCCAGCCTGCTCCCTGCAGGAAATAGCTGGAAAGAGAAAACACAACCTGTGGATGGCTAGGCCAAGTGAGCCTTGCACAGGGAAGTCACACTGGGACTTCTGGTCACTGTGGCCACACACCAGACACTGAGGCCAGCTGGGACTCCTGCAGAGGCACAGTGGTGCCAGGGCAGAGCTCCACAATGGCTAGACCCAGCCCACCAGTCTGGGCTGCCTTCACCCTCCCACCTTGGAAGAAGGAGGACACTGCCCTACTGCCCAACTCTGGTGTCCTCGCCCGGGCCGGTCTCCTGCAGGCTGCCCTGAGTGGCAGGTGTCCCCCCAGGCGTTTGCTGGCCCAGACGCATTGCTGGTGCCTCCTGCATATTCTGCAGCATCTTTACAGGTTCAGAGAAGACCGTGAGGGGTGACAACTGCAGTAAGGTGAAGTTGTCCACCTTGGCTGAACGAAACACACGTAGCCTGCCAGGAAAATATCTTGCAAATGTAATTCAAAGGAAAAATTCCTAGTGAGCAGAGGGGACAGTCAAATGACCGCAAGAAACTGAAGTGACAGCTGTAGGCAGGAGTGCTGTCAGCATCAGGTGGAGCCCAGGGGTGCAGCTCAACATCTCACCACACTGGCACGGGGCCTCCCAACAGAGAAAGATCCAGCCCCAAACATCAGCAGTGCTTTTGGAGAGACTGTGCTGTAGGTAATCCTGTGTCTCCCAAGTGTCTGGTCTTGCCACTTTTTTTTTTTTTTTTTTTTTTTTGAGTTTGAGTCTCACTCTTTTGCCCAGGCTGGAGTGCAGTGGCACGCTCACAGCCATCCCAGCGTCAACCTGCTGGGCTCTGGCGATCCTTCCGCCTCAGCCTTCCAAGTAACCGGAACTACAGGCACATGCTACCACACCTGGCTAATTTTTTATTTATTGTAGAGATGATGTCTTGCCAAGTTTCCCTGGCTGGTCTTGAACTCACGGGTTCAGGTAAACCACTCGCCTCACCCTCCAAAAGTGCTGGGATTACAGGCTGAGCTACCAAGTCCGGCCTGGTCTTGCCACTTTTATACAGGTGACTTTGTGATCTAAAATACAATTTGGCTCAAACTTATAATCCCAGCACTTTAGGAGGCTGAGGCTGGAGAAATGCTTGAGGCCAAGTCCTCAAGACCAGCCTGGGCAACATAGCAAGACCTCATCTCAAAAAAAAAAAAAATTATCTGGGCATGGTGGTACATGCCTATAGTCCCAGCTACTTAGGAGCTGAGGTGGGAGGATCACTTGAATCCAGGAGTTCCAGGCTGCTGTGAGTTATGAGCGTGCCGCTGCACTCAAGCCTGTATGATAGCAAGCCCCTATATCTAAAATCATACTACTAATAATAAGGCTGGATGCAGTGGCTCATGCCTGCAATCCCGGCACTTTAGGAGACCAAGGTAGGAGGATCACTTGAGGCCAGGAGTTTGAGACCAGCCGGAGCAAAACAGCCAAAAAAAAAAAAAAAGATAGCCAGGTGTGGTGGTGGTGCATGTCTGTGATCCCAGCTACTTGGGAGGCAAGGGGGGGAAGACTGCTTGAGCCCAGGAGTTTGAGATTGCAGTGAGCTATAATTGCACCACCTGCACCCCAACCTGGGTCACAGAGCAAACCCTGTCTCTAAAAAAAACCAAGATAAAATACAATTCGATATTACTCATTCCCCCGGCACTGTTCTTGGCCATGAGGATTATTCTCACCCCAATAGGTACAAGTGGCTCACACCAGCACTGTGTAAATGTTTGACAAGACAAAGGCAAGCCTGGTACTGAACACCTTGGGTACTATAGCTGGATGACCAGTCAGTGCTGAGGCCTGAGAGGGACCCAGAAACTGGTTTTTTTAATTCTCTGCCTGAGAATGAGCCTAGGAGCCACCAGAAGGTAACACCAAACTCCTGTGAGGAGATCATGCTTTGAGGTCTGACATCTGGTTCATGGCTGAGTCCCTACCTCTAACAGTGTTTGGCCATGGTGAGGTCAGTAGGAGGCCATTGCAGTGGCTCTCTTGCGCTATCTTTGCTCTGTTCCCAGGTGCCCCTGCCTGTGCTGGGAGACTCAGGCCTCTGCCTTCCTGCCGGGGGCCATCCAGAACCTTCCCACGGGAATGTGCTCCTTGCCTGAGTCGCCTTGACTTGCTGGGAAACACCCAATGCCAAAGCTAAACACGCCCGGGTGTGGGCAGTGATGTCAGGGCGGCATCCCCTCCCCTGCTGGGGAAAGGTCGGTGGCGGGTCAGGTCTGGCCACCCATTGTTTGCCTGGGTTCCCCATGGTCTCAATTTCTTGATCTTTTCAAAGCTCGAAGTTTGGTGGCCTATTCAGGAGGGCTTGAATTTTTACCTGCTGGATGCCACTTGGGTACCCTCAGCCCCAAATGTCCCAGCCTCCTCCCTCAGCCACTGCCCAGGAGTCCAGAGCTGGGGGGAGGTGCGGCGACAGAGGTGGCTCTTCCTTCTGAGTGTGGGATTTGCTTTTTCCCAGGGATGAGGCTCCCATGACAGAATTTCCCCTGTGCCCAGAACCGGAATCCTACCATTCCCCAGTGCTCGTGGTCAGACTTTGGACCGAACTGCACTTGGACTTGCTTTCAATGGCCCTGCTCTGGTGATGGCAGTGTGAAATGGGTGGGCCTGAGGAGCCCAGCAGGCAGAGATGGGACACTGCCCCCACGTGGCAGGAAGGGCTGGGTCGGAGAATCACAGCACAGGCGGTCACTGCAGAGGGTCAAAAGGATCCTGGCTATCCTTAGGAAGCCAAAATTTTAGAGACCCATAGTCACTCTCTGGTCACGCCTGTCCTGGACACGGTCCCCTCCGAAGCTAGAGCAGCCAGCTGTTTCTTCAGCCAAGCATGGGATGAAATCGTTTGTGTAAGACTCCGTAGTAGGAAAAACCCCCTAAGTGCCTCCACGATGAAGTACAAAGTGCTCACTCTGGGGGATGCAGGAGGGAAGGGGCCACCACAGACCCCAAGGGGGCAGGGACAGATCAGATCTGTTCACTGTGCCATCCCAGAATGGAGCTGGCTCTTGAGACATAGATACTGAATGAATTATTTTTTAGCATCTCAACAGGGATGGCCAGAGAAACAGGCTGATGTTTGAAAAGCAAATTGGGCTCTGTGCTCCAGGACATGCAGGTGGACCTGGGTGCCAGCCCAGCCTCCCTTCCCACCTGCCTCATCTCCAGCAGGTGCCTGGCCTCTGTCAGCCTCTCTGCAGCGGTACCCAATGTGTGGAAAGAGACCCGCCCACCTCCCAGGCCACGGCTGTGCTGCCCTCAGCCCAGGTTCAGTGCACCAACGACCCGAGCTCGGTCTTTACTTCCCTGGGGCAGGGCTGCAGCAAGGCTGCCACCTGCCCTGATAGGTGAGCGCCAACGGCTGGCACAGGTTCCTCAGCCAGGGGAAGGCCACATCCGGGCAGCCTGGAAGGTGGGCAGAGCCCCAAAGGAAGCAAAACCCTAACAGATCCTGGTAGAAAAATAAAACCACTTATTCATGTTTGGAAAATAATCACATCAGGACCCCCAAGTGACCATGAACAGATGGGCAAAGGCTCTTTTTCAGCTTGGAAGTAGAGTTCCCTCCCCAGGCCTGCTGTGAAGTCACCAGCTTCCTGAAGTCACCCCTCTGGGTTCATCTCCCTCAATATGCCTCTCGGGATCCCACAGCCAGGGTTGGGTGCTGAAGAGGGCTACCAGGGACTGACACCCTTGTGTCACCATCCCTGGACTCATCAGCAACCACAAGGGACAGGTCCCCCAGAAAGGTGAATGTACCCTCTAGAAAACCACAAATGCCATGCCCACCAGAGCCACAACTCGGACTCCCAGACTTGTTCACCATGTAGATGGAAGGCCCATCTCCCCTCCACCCCGGGACCATTTGGGGAGAGGGCCGCCAGGCTTTGGTGTCTGCCCTGTCCTGGTCTGTAACTTACCTGTTCAGTTGAGGCTTCAAAGTCAGAGGCATCCAGGGCATCCCGCATCTGGCTGTCTAGCAGGAAGTCGAGTTCCACAGCTGAGGGGTCCACCCAGGTGGCCTGTTGTACAGAACGAGGGTGGCCGGGCTGACCTGCCAGGTCTGCGAGGGTGTCTGCACTGCTCTGGCGGACCTGGGTCTCCTGAGGAAGGCCATCCACTGTTTCTCTGTGCTCTGGCAGACCAGAGGCTTGGAGGGACAGACTGAGCCCCTCGAGGTCTTGTTCAAGGGTCTGGCTGCCCGACTTGGCTGTCTTGTGATGAGGGTCTGGCACCCATTTCGAATCAACACCTGGCCCCATGTCTGGGGCTCGACAGCTGGACTCTCCAGTGCCTATTGTGGGCTCTTGGTTTCCGGAAGCCAGAGCCAGGGAGGCTGGAGGGCCCACTGATGCGTCACAGTGGGGCTCGTTTTCCCACCTTTCCTCTCCGCTGCCTCCTGTGGTCACCCCAACGAGTGGTGTGTAGCCTGACAGGGCCCTCCTGTGGGTGCTGTCAGAGACCTTCCCCCCAGGAGAGGCAAGTGACCCAGCACTGGCCTGACCATCTGGGCCAGCCACCTCTGGAGTCCTCTGTTCTGGTTCAAGGGGGTCTGTGCTCAGGTCTGCGATGACAACCATCCCAAGGGAGGAGCATCCTGGGCTGCTGTGTCTAACTTCTGCTTCCCTGTCAGTCCCGCTGGGTGTCTGCAGGGGGCCAGGAGGAGTCTGGACCAGAGACCCAGGCTCCAGGCACCAAGTGTCATGGCCCAGTCCCTGAGTAGGGGCCAAGACAGGAGCTGATGCTGGGGCATTGGGGATACTGTCTCCTTCCTCCTGGGGCCCTCCAGGTAGGTCAGCCCCTGTTCCTCTTGGGGCATCTCCCTCCCAGGGAGCTCCTCTGTCTGGCTCCATCTCTTCAGTAGCACAGCCTGGTTGGTGTCCTTTTTGATCAAGATCGCCCAGAGTCCAGGCCCTCTCTGTCTCAGGCCTACTGTTCCCCAAGTTTCCACCATCCGGTGTGTTGGTCCCTTGCTCCGTCAAGTGGTTCTGGCTGGCCCTCTCTGAGGTGGAGGGTCCTGTTCCCACTTCTGGAGAGGCCTCGGGCTGAGAATCCCCACTGCCGGGCTTCACAGGGTCCTGGACTCTCTGCTCAGAGCAGCTGCCATCTGCCTGGGTTGGCTCCCCTGGCTGCCCAGCCTCCTGGAGAGTGAGCCCCAGGTACCCCTCCAGGGGCTGGCTTCCTGCCTGCTGGGCACTGGGCTTTGGAAGTGTTTCCTGTAGAGAGAAAAAGCCTCAGCCCCAGGGCCTTCAATAATCAAATGCTCTGAAATGCCCCATCCAAAGACTCAGATGTTGGCAATGACCATCATGTACCAAAATAGACATCGGGACCAGTGCCGGGGGCTAGAGGGGGAAGGGGAAGCACAAAGACTCCTCCTTCACTAGGCTCTTCTCCCTGCCGGCACCAGGCATTTAGGAAGATCAGGGTGGAAAAGTCAAGGTGGCATGTGATTCAGCCAGGGTCAGGTGCCTGGTTTTGATGATGGACTATGGCTACACAAGACATTACCACTGGGGGAAGCTAGGAGGGGGACTCCAGATCCCCTCTCCATACTGATTTGTTTTCTAAAAAATTGTGGTAAAATGTACACGACATTAAATTATGTTACCCATCACAATGATCTTTAAGTGTACATTTCAGCAGCAGCATTAACCACACTCACACTGTTATGCAGCCATCATCACCATCATCTCCAGAACTTTCTCATCCTCCCAAGCCAAGACTCTGTCCCCAGGAAATACTCTCCATCCCCTCCCCAGCCCCTGGCACCCACCATTCTACTTTCTGTCTCTGGATGTGATGATTCTAGGGACCTCCTATAAGTGGAGCCACATAGCATTTGTCCTTTTGTGACATCACTGAGCATGATGTCCTCAGGGTTCATCCATGTTGGAGCCTGTGCCATAATGTCCTTCCTTTATAAGGCTGAGTCACATGCCATTGTATGGATGGAGCACAGTTTGCTTATTCACTCATCTGTAGATGGACATGTGCGTCTGAATGGGTTTTGCAACTTCCTCTGAGTCTATAATTGTTTCAAGATTAAAAGTTTAAGGATTGGGAGGCTGAGGTGAGTGGATTGCCTGAGCCCACGGGCTCGAGACCTGCCTGGGCAACTTGGCGAGACCTCATCTCCACAATAAATAAAAAATTAGCCGGGCGTAGTAGTGCGTGCCTGCAGTTCCAGCTACTTGGAAGGTTGAGGTGGAAGGATCGCCGGAGCCCAGTGGCTGGGAGCAGCCACTGCATTCCAGTCTAGGCAACAGAGTGAGACTCCAACTCAAAAAAAAAAAAAAGTTTAAGGAAAAAAAGAGAAGTCCCTAGTGGGGGACTTCCAGTTGGTCTGGATGAGAAGAGGGGTCTGGCTGGGATTCAGATGAGTATCGTCCCTTAGGCAATGGCAGTGCGGTCCCTTCAGCACACAGCCCTGATCTCCTGACTTCAGATGTACATTCCCACCTGGCACCTCCCAGTACCCCCCAGTGTGACATAACCAGCTTCTGAGCCCACCAGAGCCTCCTTGTCCCAGCTCATAGCAACTCCATCCTTCCAGCCATTCGGGCCCCAAACCTGGGGTCAATGCATTGCTTCCCTCCCACATCTGCCCTCAGCTCCCCCTCCAAATACACCTAAAATCGGACCACTTCTCACCAGTTCTGTCTGGTCCCTTGGACCCAGCCACCATCTTCTCTCCGTGGGTTCCAGACCTGCCTCAGTGGGTCACCCTGCTTGCCCCCAACACACAGCACTGGCCCTGCCCCAGCCTCAGTCCTGTCCTGGTGCCTTCCAATATGGGGAACATTCCTCCCCAGGAAGGTTGAGCCCCATGGGCTGCGTGTCTCTATTCAGCTGCTACTCTGGCCACCTCTGTAGGGTTCCCACCCCTCATGCTGCTCCAGCACTTCCTGTCACTTTCTTTCACTGTGAGGGCATGACAGGGACAAGCAGGCTCACTGTTCCCTATTTCTAACACTGGAAGCAGTGCCTGGCACTGAGACAGGACACAAGCCTTTTTGGAGTGAATTTTAAAGATGCGAACAGGTGTACTTGCATGTGTAAAAGTCCATGGTGAATGCAATGTAAATAAATAAACTCAACAACTCAGGCCTGGGGTCTGCACTGGTAGACACCCTACAGATGGGGCTGCTTCTATTATTCAGTTGTCAGTGCTGGCAGAGACACGTCCTCAGTACCTCCCTGCACACAGCAGAATAGCCCTTCTAGGAGAGCGTCTGCACTACAGACAGACAGCCATCACCACAAATCAAACCTCAGTGAATGTTCAAAACACGTGAAATGTACCTGTCAGCCTGCCCAGCCACGCATGGTCTCCACCACACATTCTCCAGCCACGGTGAGCCTAACACCCCTGCTTGCTTCCAATCAGACTTTCTTATAGGGGGATCACTGTAGACTCATATGCAGTTGCAAGAAATAATAAAGCTCCCTTATGCCTTTTACCCTGTTTCCCCCAATGTTAACATCTTGTGTGACTCAAGCACAATATCATGCCCAGGATACTGACGCTGATAAGATGCACCAACCTTATTTAGTCTTTCTGGTCGGACCTGTACTCATTTGAGGTGTGTCTTAAGTTCTACGCGGCTCTGTTTCCCATGGAGGTTTCTCTATTGCCACAGTCAAGAGGCTGAACAGTCCTGACACCACAAGGATCCCCTTACACCAACCACTCTTTAGCTGCACTCAACTCCCTCCCGTGTCCCACCTACCCTATCCCCAAACCCTGGCAACCACTAATCTGTCCTCCACCTCTATAATTCTGTCATTCTGATACTGTTATGGAAATGGAATCCTAAGGTACGTAACCTTCTGCAACTGGCTTTTCCCATTCCGTATGATGGTCTGTAGACCCACTCGAGCTATTGCATGTATCACAGACTAGTATGTTTCTTTTTAAAGCTGAGTTGTGTTCCATGGTGTATTCCATGGAGTGGTTTATTGGCCCACTCACCCATCGAAGAATATCTGGGGTGTTCCTAGTTTGAGGCACTGATGACAAACAAGACAAATATAGCTGCTGTGAACACCTCCCACTTTTTTAGGGGCCTGTGTTGCCAGAGGCATTGTTACTCCCAGAACTCACAATGGCCAGAACAAAAGAGCTATAAGAACCTCCACCCATACAAAAAGCCCTGTGAAGGGAGGAGTTCAGGGACAGAATGTGGGCTGCCTTTCTTAGTTTTACTTTTTTTTTTGAGTTGGAGTCTCACTCTGTCACCCAGACTGAAGTGCAGTGGCATGCTCCTGGCCACCGCAGCCTCAACCTGCTGGGCTCC